CCAGAAGCCCTCAGCGTGGCGAGAACAGCTTAAAAATGGTGTTCAGCCGCTGAGCAAGTACTGGAAGGGCACATACTCATTTCTTGATAACTCTGAGGTCCAGAAGCTGCGACGACAAGGTCCAGGAAAGCAAGTGTATATCGACAAGAACGTTGACGAAGGCAAAATCCAGGTACGCTATTCTCGAAGTCTTCGGAGCCGTGCCTACATTCACTGATCACATGCAGTCCCTCGAGCTCGTTTTCGCAGAAGATAGTGTCCTGCCCGATGGTCGCCGGCTACCATGGCCCTCCGTTTTTGAAGACCGTCTCCGCTCGCTTACGAACGACACTGGCAAGCAAGGCATCACAACTCAAGGCCGGAGTCTAGCTAGATCTACCGCATCCAGCATTCAGTTTGAGGGCAAGGGCGAGGACCTTGACGACGAATACATGGCTCTTGGATGGCTCAACATTCTGCCTCCTCAAGGTGGTATCCCTGGCTGGCAGCGCATCACCTTCATGAAGCACTTCACCCAGGACTACAACAACCTAAATGAGGACAATCTTTGGGCATATGAGGGCGTTGTTTTGCCAGGTGGCCGGATCATTCTGGGTCGATGGTGGTTTGCTTCGGAGCAGGGTCATCGTAACGTAAGTGGCCCCATGGTGGATTCCATCATCTGACGCATACTGACTATTTGTAGCTAGAGTACAACGGACCTTTCATCTTGTGGGCGGTCGATGAACCCGACATGGAGGATAACGACAGTGATAACTGCAGCGACGAAGGTCTCTGAAACACATGACTGCGGCAACGAAGGGTTTTTGGAGCCCCATCTCAAATCTCATGTCTGCTTTTCACATCTTTTGATTATCTATTTTACCTTTCCTAACATACCCTGGCGTTTAAAGCATGGCGATGTACTCATGAAAACTTAGTCTATCTGGAGGCATGGAGGCCTGGGGTTCCCTGTGCTTTGTTAGTTTTGGCATCACATATCATATAGTTACCTGGTCATGGTATTCGTAGAATTGGACACTGTGCCCATGTCTGAGTCCAAAGTTTATCCCAAAAAGGTTTATGCTCGATCCTATCGTCCTACAGATCCACAAGGTTCGGTATCATGAAAAGTAAACGACGAACCAACTACTATTACAGTTACTCACCATGGCTTTGAATGGGATCGACGTTGGATGTTATGCTGAAGCATATGTCTATTTAACCACAATTTTCGGCAACAGTACATCAAAGGCCTCGGAATAAAAAGGTGAGAAATCTGATGTAAAAAGACCATTTTGCATTTCATATCTATCCTGAGTTCATAAGTCATGTCGTGAATCATTCATTTCCGAGCCAGAAGACCCGACGTCGCATTAACCCAATGTGCTCTTCTTTTCTCCCCCAAGACCAAGAAGATGCCATCTATCCATCCATTCGCTACCATGATCATCGTTCGTCAAAAGACCAAAGTGTGTAAAAGAATGGAGTTGCTAAAAAGAAGAACAATGACATTCGCTTCCTCCAAGCCTCGCGAAAGAAAAAGGTATTTAACAATACTTTCTAGACAACCGCGACAGTACAATTAACCAGAAGACCGTTTCGAAAAGGTGTAAGGAAACGGGGGTGATGGTCGGGTAAGCATCTAATACCTCGCACCCATGGGTGGCGGTGGCACAGAGCTACCGTAAGGATTCGCATCCGCGTAGGACGTAGGATAAGGCTGGTTGGCAGCTACAGGATATGCGTACGGATTAGCGGCTGCTCCATTCATATTGGCTCCCAGAGCATTTAGACGGGCTTCTTTCTCGCGTCGTTCACGCTGCTTTCTCCTCTTGCGGCGGCGCGTCTCAAGTTCCTTGACGCTGTGGCGTTGCTCGTTCATCTCTTTCCACTCGGAGTAGGCTGACTTGATACCGAGGGCAGCGATACCCACGGCAGCAGCATCTTGGAGCATGTTCTTGGACTTGCGTTTGCGCGCTTCTTCGGGTGACATTTCGCCCTCGCCGACGAGCTTGCGACGGTTCTCCGAGGCAACCATGGAAGAATAGACTCCATGCGCCGCGTGGATGGTGGCCACAGTGGCTAGACCCGCAGTAAGGAGTTCCTTACCTCGTAGCTTCTTGCGCTTCTCCTCCATGTCGGTGGACGATTCGGAATCGCTGCTAGCGTCCCATCGACCCCGATCTGCTCCTCCACCCTGTGCTGTCAAAGCACCGGCGCCTGCCCCACCGGCGGCGGCTAGTCTGCGATCTGGGTTAGTCCTGGAAGGGGCTTCGGAATACTGGTCGTCCATACCGCGGCCTCGGCTGTACGAGCGGCGGTTGCCCCTACGTGAGGGCACATAGCTGTCGGCGCTGGAAGAGCGGGATCGCTCCTTTCGGGAACGAGACTTGGATCGCACACGGTCGTATAGAGCCTTGCCTGCTGCGAGCACAGCACCGGTACCAGCTACCTTGGCGAGACCGTTGTTTCCTCCCTCGCTGGAATGGGAGCGCGAGCGGCCGCGAGAGCGCGAACGTCCGAAGATGGACCTGGACCTGGACCTGGCACGAGAGCGGGAGCGAGACCTGGAGTCGTCACGACCACGAGGAGCACGGGAGCGGGAGCGAGAGCCGTTGGCTAGACGAGAAGCGACAAGACCACCCAGAGCGGACTCGGCGACGTGTCTCTTCTCGTGCTTGCCAGGGTCTCTGTCGATGAGACCATCGATACCAGCAGCACCGAGAGCAGCAGTTGCGACACGTTGGCCCTTGGCACCAGTCCATGGACCGGCTTCCTTGCGGCTGCGGAAGGCTTCGACAGCACCGGCGACGATGGCGGCTTTGGCGGCTTGCTCCCACTTCTCAGACTTGCGTCCTCCTCGGCTGCGGCTGCGAGAACGCGAGCCGTAGCGGCTGCTTCGGCGGTCGCGGTCGTCGTAGTATCCGTATCGGTCGCTGTCGTAGCCACGGTCGTCTCGACGAGGACGGGAGCGTGATCGGTCGCGGCCGCCTCCAGTGACTGCGCCGATGATACCGCCTAGGCCTGCAGACTCGCCAAAGTCCTTGACCTTGTCGACGATGGACTTGCGGCGCTGCATGTTGGGGCGCTCAGAGTACTCGGAACGGTCATCGTAGTCGCGGTCACGTCGACGGGGGCGGTCATAGTAGTCGTCATCGTAGCCACGGTTCACTGAGCGGGTGCGACGGGGCGGCGCATACTCCTCGCGGTACTTGGTTTGCCTATACTCGGCACCGGGAGGGAAGTCGCGGGGGATTTCCTCGATGCTGTCCTCGCGCGCTGCGGGGCGGTAGACGAGATCTCGTGCCCCGCCTCCGCGACCGCCGCGCTCAATGTACGTCGTCTCGGTGACGTACTCAGGCTCCCGCGTACGGTGCCGTGGTGCGTAGCTGTACTCAGACATGGTGATGGTGCTCTATACCCGCCGTGGGCGATGTTGGCTCTCCAGGGTCCAGCAGCAGGAAGCGTCGTATCCGGGTCCGGTGTTCTGCGCAAGGCTTGGTTAGCGGGCGCACGAAGGCGACGAGCAGGGCGGCGCCTTGGACATACCAAATAGTCTCTTTGGTCAGATAGACTTTACTTGGCTAGTAAGCGCAAGTTTGATAGTTGGAGGGCTGTCGCAACGAAGAACAAGGTGCCTGCGAAGTAACGGGACAAGGTGGGTAGGGGAATGGGGTGTCGAGCGTCGCAGGGCACCGGCAGGCAGTGGTATTTAACAGGATGATCGACTCGGAAGGTCCAGGGCTGATGACTGTCCGTTTGGCTTGGGTCCCAAGGATCTATCTCGGTGCAGGTGGGGTGGCGTAGATGTTACCGTTTGCTTGAGGCTGGGGTGGGCGTCAGTCTTGAGAGCGCAAAGCGGCAACAGCGTGCCTATGATGTCACTTGTTGGGTTGCCCACAGCCAAGGCCAAACTTTCTTCTACCAGCTGCTGCGCCCAACGAGAAGACAGTCTCAAACGGGGTTTAGGTCAACTGATTTGCGCAGCTTTTCTGACCGGCATCCCTCACCGACGGACGACTTGGGTGCTTTTCGCTGCGAACATGTTGCTCGCCATAGCCCCTCTCCGGCTGCCTCCGAATCTTGACCGGTGCCTCACTTTCGTCCATCTTACGTTGCGACGACGGCTTTCTGACAGCTGTCGCATCGTCTCCCCATTCGCCTCATGGCTGCATCTCCCACTCCACATGTCTCGCTGCTTCTAAGCCATGATTCCAAGTTTCTGTCCTGCACCCTGTCCACTCGGCAGCATTCAGGGCTTGATGACGAAGCCCGGTGCCATTGTGTGTAGGGGTGCTATGTACAGAACGCCACGTGAGTCATCAGCTATTGGCCGATACCCGTGGTAGGTACATGGAACTCCAGCGAACATGCGAGGATACACCTGCCAGTCTGTGGCCTGACACTTTGACGTTGGCCCAAACCCTGGAAGGACCGGGTAGTACCTGACAATCTTCAAAAAGATGCCCAACTACATGTTTTTCCTTCCTTGTTTGTTTGCTTCATGTTTTATTGAGGAGTCGATGACGATATGCCTTCAACGCGTGAACCTGTGTTTGGTCGCTAGAAATTGTGGCGCATGCCAATACGAGTGTTTGGGGCATGGTAGCTGCATTGCTTTATCTCAGCAGCAACAACAGCCTCTCTAACTTTTTGCAATTTCTGAAGTATGGACCACGTACTAGACTAGATCGTACATGTTTCGGATTTTCCATGTCAAGTTGGTCACCAGATCTGAATCACACCACTGTAGTCCCCTTCCATGATATCTCTGGGAACAAGGCAACGAAGACTGGACAAAGCAAAGACATGATACCATATAGCCTCACGACATCTTCCAAGAACGAGCTGTAGGCATGAAGACACTCCCCAACTGGGTCGAATCGGAAGTTTCTCAGAGTACTTTGCTCCATCATGTTGTACCACACATGTCATCACACGTATTGCAAAGTATTGATGATTCTTGCTCCATCCTGATGAATATAGTACAAGCATATATACACGACGCAAGATCAACCTCAAACCTTGATCGCATACCGCCTAGGCTTATCGCTTTCCACGGCCTTCCCTGTCCGTTCCTTCGCCCACAACTTTAGTCTTGACATACGCTGTAGATTTGCCTCTTCCTGCTCTCTGAGCTTTTCTGCTTCCAACTCTTCTGCTGTGAGCTCTACAGACATTGCCTTCTTCTTCTGTATCTCGGGATCCGGCCGCGAGACTTTCTTGTCGAGCAACTTCTTGACCTGCTCTCGTAGCGTCCTGGCTGCCTCTCTTGCTTCGGCCATGTCTCCAGCTCCATTCTGGCTGGCCGCCTGCTTAATCTCTTCTCTCCTCTCTCGTTGGCCCCATGGCTCTAGGTCGGGAACCTCTGGCCAGACGAATGGCTGCTCCAACTCTACCGTCATGTACTTCTTCGAGTCCTCACGGAACCAATGCCGTGGCTGTTCGCGCGTATCGCGTACAGGCATTTGCTTTACGTACGATCTGATGTTGAAGCATTTGACGTTGTAGGCGTGGTAGAGGTAATCGCGAAGGTCGTACTTTGAGAAGTCGAGCGGGACGAGGAAGCGGGCATGATACGGGGAAAGGTTTGGTGTACGAAGGAGTGCGACTGTGAATTTAGGACTGAATTGTGTTAGTCCTGAGCATAAACGATGTAGCGTAGTGGCCTACAGGTATATCTTCTTGCTCCCAAAGGCTATCAGTTTTTTTGTGATGGGTACGGCGTTCATGGCGATGGGTTGCGATAGAGTCCAGCAAATATGATGAGGTGCTTTCTAGGGAATCAAATGGCGCACGAGCAATGGGTACGGCGGCTTCGAGAAGTGCAATGCGCGACGATGCCGCGTGATTCGACTTCTAGTGGTAACTTTGGTGATGCTCAGAAAATGGATCGGAGGTCGCTCCGCCTAACACCGAGCCCCGCCAAGCCTTTCCCCAACCTCTGTGCCTCTGTGACAATGCACAGCGACTCTTTGCCATCCTGATTTGACGTCTTGTGCCTCCTATCTACAACCTCTCATCTGCATATGGAACCTCTATGTAAACGATATTCACGATCTCCTCGCGTGATACTCGGCAGATCAGGTCACATGTGTGGGCAAACTAACAGCTTCGCTCGACGAATCTCAGCTGCATCGAAGGTCTGTCTGCTCATAGTTGTGATGAATTGTCACATACTCGCACTCTCGAGTGACATGTATTAGACTGGAATATATCCGGTGTTGCTGGTGGCGTCCACGTGGTCAGTGCCCTTGAGTAGGTACCTAGGTAAAGCAGACAGTTTGCTTTCGTCGAATGCCGCCTTAGGCGACAGTGTTCTCAAATAAACGGCGCTCCCTCTCACTCGAGTCAATAGGTCACCCGAATTCTTGACACCATGAACCTTTGTATCCCATCTTTCCGTTCTCTGCACGTTGAGCCCCCACAAATCTGATTGATACCTCTTCTTTGCTCCTTGACTAATACAACAAACTTTATGCGTTGTTGCACACAACTCCTTCATATCACTGGAATGCAGCGTGCTCTTAAGCGTGCTTCTACCAATTGGCTACACTTACGGCAGGAGTGGACGTGTCCAAGCGTCACTGCGTGTCTGCTCCTTCCAACCCGGGTTCACCTCGACCTATCCTTGCAGATGAGCACCACGGTACTGCCCAAACACTCCTCTTCCCGACGCCATTACTTTGACACTGCTTCTGATACGCCACACAACCAAGAGTCTACAATCATGAACCCAGGCGAAAGTGGCCCGGCTCCTAGGCCAAAGCCAAACAAAACCATATTAGTGCCTCAAGAGTTCCGTCGTCCCACTCATGCCAGAGAGTGCGACAACATCGTCAACGAGGTTAAGGTCAGAACTGGTTGTGCAGTCATTCCGCAATGGGATGATGGGAGGATCTACCAGTTCGGCATCGCTGGAGGAGGCGCAGGACTGGAAAAGGCGGTCCGATATATCAATCAGTGGATTTCCAACGCGCACGTCAAATCGAAAGATTCCTCAGCGTGGGCAAAGATGCCGGCTTTCGATCCGAACAAGTGGTACTACGAGCAAATTGAAGAAATGGAGCGACAACGCAAAGAGGCGTTCAGAGGAACAGCGCCCAAAGTGTCAGAAGGCGGAACACCGCTACAGTGCTTAACCATACATTGGCCAGAGGATCTGATCAATCTGAACATAACTCCTCGCGATGTCTTCGGCAACAAGTTGGAAAAGCTGGATGCTATCCGGACTTACGACGAGGTTTTCATATCGATTCTCTCTGCTCAGGGCGATATCGGGCAGATAGAGATACAAGGTGCGTTTTGGATATATAGTATTCATATAAGCCTTACGCTGACTTCTCACTCTCGTCTTCGAAGCGGTAGACATAGCGAACATAGAAGCAGCCGAGGCGCATCTCAAGACGATGATTGACAAAGTCAAAGCTGAAGAGATGGGACAACATCATACGCTCAACATGATCCTTGATGATCAAGAGGGGATGGAAGTCGAGCTGAAAAAGGCTGACACTTGGTGGCCGAACCTGTGCGTAGATTGCCGGTATCAATTGTGTCAGATATGAACTAACTTCGTGTACTTAACTCTAGACAAGACCGAGTCGTACCCCACCTCCTTCCCAATAATATGATGGACCCTCCTGGACGTTTTCGCGGTGCTTTCATGCACTCCAAGCAGCTCTCGAAGATCCAGCGTTCTGTTCAATTAGCTCTTGACGCCGTGCGTCACAAGAAAGGCGCTTACGATATGACCATCTGTCTAGGGTCTCTAGCACTGAATTCGAGGCATATCAGAGAGAATGGAATTGGCAAAAAGTACAGCAAGGATGTCTTCTTAAAGTCGATCAATGGATCGGTGGGCCTTGAAGTAAAGAAGTGGCAAGTCAAGACCTTTATAAGAGTATCATGACGGTAGCTAACAGAACAGGCTTGTCGACGATGTATTGGGCTGCCAGATACTGAAGTCTTTCTTCACGGCTGACGACTTCCTCGAACCTACAAAGTCTTCAGACTATTTCGGCTATATGCCCAAATCTCTTCAAGGAACCCGCCCTATGTTCCGAGGAACATGGGTGTTCGCAGATCCCAGCATTGCTACTGCTCATCCGCCTCAGGCTACAGCTACCCGCCATCCCGGTCGACCCAATCCATCCTACCAAAAGCCTGCTGCTACCGCGAGTTCGACACCAGTACCGGCGGTACAGTCCAGCCTTATCGTGGTTCGAGTTGATTGGACGGACGACGAAGAAGGGTTGTACGAGAAGACCACTACACGATTCTACAGGACAGAACAAGGTAAACTAGGTCCAACGAAGAATATGGACATCAACCTGCTTGAGTTAGGAGAGAGCCAAGGATGGCACTTTGCCCTCGAATCATTGACCCCCGTGGCATCAAAAAGCATTTCGCCTGTGATAACTGGTTTCGCCGAGCGAGTTAAGATGAGGCCCAACCATGACCATCGTTCCAGTGAAAGCTTCGCTGAGTGGGAGCAGACACCGACTGTCAAGAAGTATCTGCGCACTGGTCGTTTAGATACTATCTACTCTTTCGGAATTAAGCAAACATGCTACAAAGTTGAGGTCACCGGCATGTGGTACCCGGGACAGAAGCTACCTGTCTGGGGTCTCTCTATTCGTCATCTAGAATGGGCGACTCATCTCGCAGAGCTCGAGCGACTGCCTATTGATCGCGAGGCTGACTGGGGTAATACCATCGCTGCCTTCTTACCAGACGACGGACATTCAGATTGTTCTAGTGCCACCGAGCGTAAGTACAGAATTCATTTGACTACCTTCAGGGTGACTTTTCGCGTCAGGTTTCTGTCTTATAACTAACGATGTATTGATCAGGTTCTTGGATGACGGAAACGTTACCGAAAGATGAAGACTTCGGAATAAGAGACCTCAATCTGGGCTCTGGTGTCGAAGCACCACCACCACGCGACGGTATCCGCATCCTTATGGACAAGCTACTTCAGCTCTCAGCTATCGTCAGCTCAGTCACCGAGACTTCCGCGGCGATGGCGGGAAGGAGCTCGAGCTAGGCGCCTGCAATGACGTGGGTGGTCTTTCGCGGTACGCGCTAGATTTAGGTTGGAGGTCATATTGCTGTCGTGAGTGGTTGTGTCGTGCGACTGGGGTTGACGTAAGTGTCGCGGCTCGTTTACCATATTTTGGAGCGAGAGGCGACATGGGAGGTGTCTCTATTCAAATAACAGGGAAGCGATGGATCTGCACACGGAATACGCATACAGTATGTCTGCATGTCCTCTTAATATTCAATAGCCCAAAGAAATCCGAGGTGATCTGAAAGGGCGGTGGGTCTAGGAGTCAAGTCTTATATAGAACCATGTCAACAGCATGATATCTGACTTTATTCCTGGCCCTTGCTATTTCGTTCTCCACTTTCGAAGATGTGTCTGATCCTCCAGCTTTGCTCCTGCTCGTGTCAACACAGCTTGACCAGCAGCAATGGCAGTCCTTCCACAAGCTAATCCTTCAATGTTCTTTGTTGATACTTCAGCTGCCTTGCTCCTCACGCTTGCCTTCCTGTGCGTTCATGACCTTGAGCCTAATAACCTCCTCGACGACTCTAACATTCTGCGCTTTGCCCTGTACAACACCCTCCAAGTCCTTCAAGCTGTCACCCAGATCCTTGACCTTGCGCTCATAGAAGTCCTTTGCGCTAGCAATATCTTTCTCTACAAAGAAGCCTGTGCCTACATCCACCAGCACATGTTCATGATCCGTGAGTTTCCCCGGTACGTATAACGAGGATGTCAAGGGGACGAGAAGCGGTTTCGAAACGGTCGCTGGTGTGAGACCCGTTGAAATGGAGGTCAGGCAGTCGCGGAACTTGGATTGCGCGGTGCGTAGCGATTGGAACGAATTTGAGAGGTGGGTGAGCTCGGCATCGAGTTGGGTTTTTAGTTCTTGGAGGCGGGGGACAGGGAGGGATGTAATTTCGACTGCGAGGTGGAATTAGCACGATGCGCGATGGATTGGCGTTTGGCTGCTATTTACTTTGACCAGGCTGTGCGCCTTGAGCTTGTGCCATGTTGGTGACGCGTGGGCTGATGGGTGTCGAGCTTCCGGGTGTTTGTGACGATGTAAACTTTAGGATGGGAAGGTTTTGGCGGGGCGGCGAGCTGCTCGTGTGGGGTACGGTAACGTGAGAGCGTGTCAACCTTCTGGGCAAGTCGCATCCACGTAATCTATCATACCTCACCATATTTCAGTCCTCTATGCCGAAGCCGGGCCCTCTTCTTCCTCGCCACTGGATTCGCAGGCGTGATTTAATGCCGGTACGCAATACGCGTTTCCGAGTCTTACAAAACGAACAATACTTGGACAAGAAGAAGCAGCTCAGCATAACCAATTTCAAATCCGACTATCCCGCCGTCTTCAAAAAAGCTTTCCTGGATATACCCGCAATTGAAAAGTGGTTTCAGAAACTCAGTGAGCGGCCAGAGGTGCTCACAGGTGAACAACACCTAAAACAACACGATCAACGCAAACAACACCAACAACGCAAACTTGATGCACTCCACAAAACGTTCAGATATCCTCAGGAGCTGAATACAGCATATCTGGAGCAGTATGGCAATGCAATTGTGCCGTTGGAATTGACCCGTGTTTCCACCAACGGCAGCGCTCGAAACCAAACTTTCGAGCGCTTCGAAGCACCGCTATCCCTCCTTTTACAGCATATGAGTGCTGCTGAGACGCAAGACACCAGTTTGTACCTCGCGCAACACTCGCTAGCTGATCTCCCAGCGCCGCTGCAAGAAGACCTCCCCACGCCCTCGCTCTTCCTACCGCACCTCAAGGCCCGTGGCGATATCTATGCGTCAAGTCTCTGGATGGGTAGACCGCCTACGCGCACGCCGCTACACCGCGACCCGAATCCAAATATCTTCGTACAACTGGCAGGCAAGAAGACGATTAGACTTATGAAGCCTGAGGTAGGCAGGGGTGTATATGAGATTGTAAGACAGAAAGTACATGGGGCTGGCGGAGACGCGAATATGAGGGGAGAGGAGATGATGCAAGGAGGAGAAATGGAGGGCTTAGAAGATGCAGTGTGGAATGACGACCCCGAGGTAAAAATGGCTGACGCAACCGGCGTAGAAACAACTCTGAGGAGTGGAGATGCGCTCTACATTCCTCATGGATGGTGGCATGCTGTTAGGGGGATTGGAAGGGGCGCAAATGCTTCGGTAAGTGCAGTATAAGATCTTTTCTGAATATGTCGCTTAATCGTTGTCTAGGTCAACTGGTGGTTCCGCTGAACGAAGCTTCATCGAAATCGCACTCTTTGAGAATCTGATAGAGTGTTTGAGGATATTGAGCCGTCACGACTTAATTTCCACCCTCACGGTAGCCTCCGAGCCGTCAACCCATGTTCCAATCGACCTCGTGCCGGGCACAATCTCCACCTCCCTCATGACACGCTCCATACCCATCTCCGCCTCGCTGTCCTCCGAGTCCCAGTCGTCGTCTACAATATCTGTCGGTGATTTCCGTACCGACATCCAATCGCCGGTCTCCCATGTCAATTTGCACGCCATGGGCTTGATTTTGAAGTGTTTTCCAACGATACCAAGCACCGTGTACGCGGTACTACTCATGGGTATTTCCGTCTCGAAAGTTGTATCCGTAGCTGCCGCGAGGTAGAACTTGATGCGGAGCAACCGGGCAGCAAGCGAGTTTGGGTTTACGGCATTAGCAGAGCGCTGCACATCTGGCTCGCCATACTCTTCACACAACCATTTGTACCGCGGATGGCTTTTCAGTATCTGCTCTCGCTGGCTCTCAGGTGCGAACTGCACCTCCTTGGCGATCATGGACAGATAATACGACTCTGCATTCAGCCGTTCTTTCTCGTGGATGGGACTGTGGTTTAGCGTCTTGAGCTGTCCCAGTCGCGCTAGTGTAAGCATATACCCATCATCTGCCGTCAAGCTCCTTCCATCTGGTGCTTGCAAAGACTGATATAATGGGTTTTGCGACACGCGTAGGCTTTGGAGACCAGGAAAGACGTACACGAGTTGCTCGATGAAAGCCCATGTTGAAATTTCATTGAACGAAAGATCCACTTCTCGTACCGTACTTGGGAAGATGGACATCGACGCGTCTGAGCTAGTTATCTCGGAGATTTTGTTCGATTTGAGGATTAGGCGACGCAGATTGGGCAGCGTTACCAGACATGCTAGCGATGATAGACATGTGATGTGGTTGTCTTCAAGTGTCAGATCGGTGATAGTGGGGTTGAGGGCATGCTGAGTGAGGCCTGTATAGAGGTTGCTGGAGGCGGAAAATGTGGTGACAGCTGGGAAGAGGTGGGTCAGGAGGGCGAGATCTGCCCAGGGAAGGAGATTATCTTCTAGTTTTAGGGAGGTGATGCCTTTGAAGGCCTGGAGACAGCGTTCTCGCTCTTCTCCAGATAGGGAAGTGTCGCGGAGTCGTATACCACTGCGCGGTTATTAGTATATATAGGAAGGGACTGTGTGTGGATGACTTACTCGACCCTCAAGCTTCTCAATCCAGGTAGTTGCTCACAGATTGCAGCTACTTCTCTCCATTCTTCAAAAAGATTTCTACTCAGATCAAGCTCAATAGCTTTTGGACATGCTTCCCTCACATCATTCTTCTCTCCTCCTCTTAACCATTCATCTTGACGTGCTTCGGGTCGATACATGCATAACCCATCCAGGATGATAATCTTCAACTCCGAGAGCTGAGCCAACTGCCTCCGGATTTTGTCGAACCCAATCTCCTCAGCTGGTTTACCATTAAAGTGCACAGGTTTCAGCTGTGGAGGTTGATGATTGAAAACCACATGTACATCTGGATCTTGGAAATCCTCCGTAACAGCTTCAGACGCATATTTTGACTTTAATGCTTGAACAAAGGTGCGTGGTGGATCTGGTTTGCGGGTAGGACGGATGAAGGATGCGGATGTTGGTGACGGGTTCAAGCATGTGAAGTATCGTGTGCCATTATGTTCGCCGGAGTGTTTTCCTCGAGTTGGTTCGTCCCATTCCACGCCGAGCCATTCGCCTTTAGTTCCTTCGACAGTGCCGTAGTAGCGGACGGTACAGAGGCGGGCGTCGAAGCAGAGGCGCTTTCCTATGTAGATATTGGTTGCCATGATTGGCTAAGTCGTAGTAATTTTCCTTCTCCTTTGGCTAGTATAGCCGGTGAGCAGATTTCTTGAGTTTACTTCACCAGTATTATTGTCAGACTCCCCCAGAAGAGCGTGGAACCGGCTTCCTAATGCGAGGGTGAGCGTTGTATGGTGAATGTGTTAAGGCAGCTGCGCACGTGATTATGGAGGTGACAGGGATTAGGTATCGTAGCACTAGCGTCGCACGCCTCCAGAAGTTCTGTCGCGCGACATCACTCCAACACGCCTACGTCTACGCGGCTCCACACTTCACCATAGCCTACGTAAAAGTCATATTCACCTCAGTCTGATCGCGAGAAAGATTGACATAGTAGATCGTACAGGTTCTCCAAGATGGATTACCAGGTACGTTTCTCGTCGCGACATTTAAGAACAGCTACTAACTTCTACAGAATCGCGCAGGCTCCAAATTCGGAGGCGGCGGCGTCGCATCACAGTCGGCAACCAATGCCGACCGACGAGAGCGTCTCCGAAAGCTCGCGCTTGAGACCATCGACCTCGACAAGGACCCGTACTTCTTCAAGAACCACGTCGGAAGCTTCGAATGTCGTCTCTGTTTGACAGTCCACCAGAACGATGGCTCATATCTCGCGCATACGCAAGGAAGGAAGCACCAGACAAACCTGGCACGTCGTGCGGCGAAAGAACAGAGAGAAGGCAAGAGGGACGACGTGGGCCAGCAAGGACTTCTGGCTGGTGTGCTGCCCAAGAAGAACATTATCAAGATTGGCCGCCCTGGTTACCGTATCACCAAAGTACGCGATCCGAACACACGCCAGAATGGGTTGCTTTTCCAGTTCCAGTTCCCGGACCTCACACCCGGCATCACACCCAAGGTCCGCGTCATGAGCGCCT